TGCACCTGGCACGGGCACCGTAGCCAGCCCGTGCCCCTTTAAGGGCTCCGGGGCCGGGAGGGGGGCAGAAGAGGGCTAGCTGGGAAGCTGGGGAGGGCTAGCCTCCCACTAGTTCGAATTAAGTGGCTACACAGCCCTTAATTCGAACTACTTAATTCGAACTAGGCATTAGTCCTCGTAGAATGAGGTTTCCCTGGTTCGAATTAAGCGCTCCGCTAGTTCGAATTAAGTTCGAACTAGCGGTTTGCCTGTGTAGCGCCTATCAAAGTTAATTAGTTCAAATTAACTTTGTAGTGTAGACATACCCCATGAGTGTGAAACAAGTGATCTGTCCTTGGTTAGATTCTTCCCTTGTTACTTTTTCTTATCTGGCAATGCTAGGAATGCTGCCTCAGCACGCATATACAGTTCTTTTATTTCACAGTTCTTTTTCTTAAAGTTGTAAACAAGTCTATAATCCTGCGGGGTTTTTGCCTGGACCAAACAAGTCCATAATCTTCTCTTCAGCTCACTTGCTATGGATTCACTCATACACTCATACCGACCATTCACACTACCCATGATTCGTGACAAGGGGGACTCTTGTGCATTTCAAAGCGGAAGCACCTGTATGGAGCCTGGTGTCAGCGGGGGACTCAGAGTCCCATGCTGGCCCCAGGCTCCATGCTGTGCTTCTTCTTTGAAATGCACAAGAGCCCCAGCTATGGTCGCTTGTACCTTTCAAACCTGGCACTCCGCATGGAGCCTGGGGTCAGCTGGTGAGTCCCCAGATAATCCTGGGCTCCATGCGGCATTTCAAATGCGGCTCAGTGTGTTGCTGCTGCTTTTAAGTACTCCCCTCTTCTCATCCCACTACCCTTGCTATCTGATAACAGCAGCAAGGTAGGGAGCAACTAGTCAACTATCATGTTAACTATCCGATAAGCGTTTGCTTATCGGATAGTCAACTAATCCTTTACATCCCTACTTTTTACATCTAAGAGAAACAAAAGGATATTGTATGACCCCAATAAAAAAGTAAATAGAGGATGCTTCCTGAATTATAATGACAATGAAGATTACTTTGCCTTTAGAAGCTCAGAGTGTAAACAAGTGCTTGGAGGTGTCCTGATGTCTGGAAGTATACTGTTAGACAGAACTTGCAGTAGGAACTTTTGTGCATCATTTTAAGTGATTTAGTTTGTAAAATAGTAGCTGAATCTTTCCTTTTATAACATGTGTCTGATAAAGTGGGTTCTAGCCCATGAAAACTTATGCCACCGCCACCCCAAAACCCTGTTAGTCTTTAAGGTGCCACAAGACTTCTTGTTTTTTTACATTAGTTTCCTTTAAAGAAGAACACAGTCTTAAGTAATATATCTTTTTCTGGTACAGATAGCAACCATATAACCCATCAGTAAATAGTCCAGTCACTTTGCTTTGCTATTCAAATCAATTCCGAATAAATCCAGTGTTGTTTTGACGTGTGGTTACTCTCATGCTGGGCTAGTTACATTAATACTTTTGTCTGTAAAACTTTTCGTTGGTCAAAGATGTGAAAAAGCACACACTCTTGACCAGGGATGGGCAATAATTTTTGACCAGGGGCCACTTCAGAAATTTTTTAAGTGGCCCCAGGCTGCCCCGGAAGGGGCAGGCCTCAGGCAGAGGGGGTGGCCGGGACACTTCTGTGCTTCCCTGCCCACAGATTCTGATTGGTCTGTGGGTAGGGGAGCACATGAAGTCTTTGCCCCTGCCCCCCAGAGAGAACCGCTAGCTGTTATGAATAGCTTGCAGTTCCCTCTCGGCGCCTGCATCCCTGGCAGTGGGAGGAGACTTTTCGTGCTGTCACCTGCTGCCCTCAGGTCAATCAGGACCTGGGAGTGGGCGGGAACACGTGAAGTCTGCCCCTGCCCTGCAAGGGAATGCTGCACTTAGTCACTCACCAGCTGAGCAGCAGCTAGCGGTTGAAATAAGTCCCGAGCCCCTTGCAGGGTGGGAAGAGATTTCATGTACTTTCCTCCACCCCCAGTCCCTGATTGGCTTGAGGGCAGAGAGCGGGGAGCGCAAAGTCTCTCGCTCCATGCCCTTTGGTGCACGGCACTTAGAGTCAATCGCCAGGGTTGATTCTAAGTACCGCACGCTTCCCTGTCCTCAGGCCCTGATTGATCTGGGGATGGAGGAGCAGGAGGACCTCTGCAGGTCAGATCAACCCACTTGGTGAGCCAGATCCGACCCGCAAAGGCTCTTTTTCCCACCCCTGCTCTTGACCGACAGCAGTTACACCAATATATGTGCTAGTGTGGTCAGCGCTATGACCAACATAGTTACTGCTGCTCATTGGGGGTGGTTTAATTATGTTGATGGGAGATCTCTATGCTGTTGCCACAGAGCACCACAGCTGCACTGGTAGAACTGTGCCACTTGAAGATGTCTAGTGTAGACATAGCCTAGCTCGAGTGTATTTACTTAAGCTACTATTACAATAAAGATATGCTCTCAGAAACGCACTTGCAGCATGACTCTAAGAGAAAGCTGTAAGACAGAGAGCTTTTTGTGTTGTATAGTGCCTGGAAAAAGAGACTAAGAATATTGAGCAAATAAACTGCACTGTGTTGTTTGATTCCAACTATGTTCAGGGAAACAGAATTCTATCTACATTGTAAATAAATAGGATTGTGTCAGAAATACTTGACTGTTTCATTAACTTCTGGAAAGACAGCAAATGTGTGAGGAGGATGCAGTTTGGGTGGAAACATCCTTTAGAAGTGAATAAGCTAAGAACTATGCATCTTGGTAAAGAAAATAGTATAGAACAAGGGTGGAGAACCTTTTTTTGATCGGGGGCCACTGATCCACAGAAAAATCAATCAGGGTCTGCACGCAAGTGAGGAACAAAAAACAAAACAAAACAATCCCCCCCCCAAAAAATATCTCTTATCAGCATGGGCTCCCCAATGTTTGGAGGAGCCCTAAGCCTCAAAGACTGGATCCAGGGAAGCTGGGGGTTGCACCTGGCCTCTGGGCCTTAGGTTCCCCACCCTGATATAGAAGTTGATAATGTACTGGTAGTAACTGAAGAGAAACAGCTAAACAAAAAAGGGTCCCATTCAGTTACAATTTTAAACGAATTAAACTAAATACTGACTCATTTAATAAGTGTTTTCATAGAAGTACTATAAGTCTAAATACTATGATGGGTGAACTTGAGTGCCTGATATTGAATGGGATTATTGATATAATAGTTGTCACTGAAACTGAGGAATGACGATAATCAATGGAACATAGTAATCTTATTACTGTGTATTTTTGAAATGTTTTTCTGTCAGTCCATCTGCC